CCGGATACAAAAGCTAAAATTACGAAATATGACGGCGCCTCGATGGCGACAGGACGTATCACTCAATAACTAGAGCGATATCGGTCAGCGTCGACATAATTAAGCAGATGTGGCGAAAAATAAAAGAAATGAGAGCGTTCGCGCGCTAATTTGCATGCGCGCCGTGCGACAAGAGGTAACGGTTTATTTGAAAATGCGCCAATATTTGCGTGAATTATTTGACTTGACTTGAATAAATCATAAGATTGAATTATTCCGGATAATTCCAGAACAATCCACTATGAATAATGAATAATTATTAAATGCGCGAGTAAAATTGTCCAGAGGAAAAATGTTAAATATACGGATCAATCGCGGCGAATGACAGATTTAATTTTACTTGCAAACGCCGCGCGCAAGGAATGACATGGGAGAAAATTCGAAGCACACGTCACAAATTCGATGTTTCTTCGGGAAAAGATTGACACTTGGAAATCGCAACCATAGCAAGCATCGCAATTGCAAGACTTTAGATTTGGGAGAAATTATTTGCACCCCATCCTCTCTCCCTCACAAGAGCTTTTTATATCTAATAAAGGGAAAAGCAAGATTTTAATATTTTTATTTGAGACACGTATCGCTGATATGAAATATCACTAATAAAAAATACTTTGAAAAATATAGCTTTAGTGTCAGTAAATTGCTACTACTATTGTTTTTTAACTAAAACCGGAAAAAAGATACAGTTGAAGCCGACGATGATAAATTTATTTTCAACTTTTCATTCTAATTAACTCTCAACGTAATTAAACTTCAATTAAATCAAGTTTAATTAATTTTTCATTTTTAAAAGACCATTATTTTAGTAAGATTTCTTTCCAGTGTGATAATTGCAGACCCGTAAACCACTCCTGGCCGGCATCGTCGGCACTCGAATCGAAGCGACTCGATAATCGTCTCAGAAGTGCGCAGCCCCGGTTGAGATTTTGCCGCGGAACAACTTGAGGTTGTGAAGAAAACTCGCGGAACGTGCGCGGCGATATCTCAAGCGGCGAATGGAGGCGAACTCCGCGGGAATGAAGCACTTTCGCACGTGTCATATCCGTTGGTTCCTACTCGCGACGCAGCGGCGCGACGAAGACGACGGGGGAAGATTCGCGTGATGAGAATTTCGCCAGCGAGCCAAGGAAATGCGCTTTTAACTAACTGTCACCGCCCGATGTTATAAGCCACTTCGCGCGACGACGCGCCCACAGACCGCGAACAAATGCTCACCTCGTAGTTGACCCTCGTGAACTTACAATTAGCCGAGTTCCCGAATAACTGCCACGCGAAACGTAATTATCATATTCAGAGTACGGCCGCCCCCTGCATTCCGCCGCTCGCTCCCCAAAACGTTTTACGCTCATTTCGAATGTACTGCGTTATTATGCGCGTGTAACGCCTCGGAAATTGGCCGGCGAGCTAATTTATCGTTACACTTCGCGGATGAGAGCGTCGGCGCTTAATGTTCGATTTAACGGCCCCCTTGTGCGGAGAAAACGAAAGCACCGAGTATCGGAAAATCGTCGCAGTCAGTTTCCGTTCTGTCGTAGTCGGCCCTCTTCAGAGATCTTGATTTGATTAGGATCAGAAAAAATGACTTAATCTCACGGTGATGTGGATACATCGAAAGGGAAAATGTATGAAAGATAAAAAATATTTATTCGACGGGTACTAATAATATATTTATTCACACCGAGACAGATATTTTTACACTAAGAACAGAAATATTTTCACGTGAGAAAATATACATTATCTTAAATCTGTGCAGCTCGTCATAAAAACAACTGTCCGCTCTACATATTTAAATAAAAGAATTTCGATTTTGGTAAACATGTTATTGGTACCCAACGAGTAAATATTTTTTTAATTTTTTTTAGATATTTTTCCTCGCGGTATATCTGTCAAACGCGTGTGTTGTGTGTGTTGTGGCGATATGTACCCCACGGAATTTTGCGGTAATATTTACTCACAATAACGTTTGTTGTATTTTTTACACCTCCTGTACCTCTTCTCCTTTTTTCTCACCCTGATCATCAAACTTATGTAATCAATTATTGAGATTATGTTCGATATACCAAAGGGATGAACAATCTCTCAGTAAAAATAAATAAATAAATTTCCTCGGCGATGTTCGAACTAGTGAGGAGGACAAATTGAACAGATCCAAGCGTAAGCATATGCTTCGATTATCCGTGAAAAGCTTAAGCTTCGTATTCTCGCGGTTAAGCTAGCGATTCTCCTAAATTCGCCTCACTTGGGCAATATCCGAGTTCGACGATAACGTCGATCGTCAGCGCGAAGATTATTCTATTATTCGTCGGATTCGAGACGCGCTATTAACTTCCGGTAATCGCGGTGAAAGGGACACAAGTGACGCGGGCAGGCGAACGCGCGATTTCACCAAAAATGATTTACCGTTCGCGTCATTGAGCACGCGAAACGCGAACGGGGAAACACGCAGCGCGCCCCTAACTGCTACTCAGCACATCGTGTCACATTTGCCTACATTCAACCCCTCGCATTCTCCAGCCCTACTGAACCGGAGGATTCTCCCTCTCCCCCGCTCTTACGCACTGACAGAGCAACCCTTCCCTCGAAGCTTAATCAAGTCCGCCCGTGACAAAAGGTTACGAGCGCGCACTTCGAACGTTCGTTCGCAATCGAGGACAGTTTTCACCGCCGATCCATTGTCGCTCCTCCTTTCCTTCTGCGAGAGAGAGAGAGAGAGAGAGCTTTTCATACATTTCACTTAGAGAGATACACGTCGGTCCTTCACACACGTACACGTGGGGTTTACACAACCAACCGTCCTGCGTCGCATAGTGGTGCCAAAACAAACAAAACCGTAATGTTTAAAAATGTATCCGAATGCTGAAATATATCTACATTATATCAAACAGTTGAATAATAAAGCTGCAATAAAAATAAATAAAATGAAATAAAGAAATATGTGTCAGAACGAAAGTACACCGACAGAAATCATAGTTATTTTCGACTTCAACTAGTTTTCTTCCTTTAGTTTTTAATGACAAAAATAGTAGCGATGCTCAATATGCACGTGAAGTTATTATCACTGACACGATAGTAACAATTACCTACATGATTTTTTTCTCTTAGTATAATAAAACAGTATTAGATGGTTAAAAAAATGATCAGGGTCGATTATTGATTTCTATGCGAAAATGTGCCGTTTATTGATCAGCCGTTGGTTTCTCACCTAATAAAAAAAGTCGTCTAAAATTTACCATTGTTGTTAATTTCTGTTTCGTCCGCAGAAACCACGCTCAGGCCCACCACTGCGCACCACTGAGGTCCCCTTCGATTCATCTCGGACTTCAGCCGACCCCGCTCTCTCTTATCTGACGCGCAACGAGGCGTCTCTGAACGTAAATACATAAAGTGCGCCGCGGAATCCATAAATGTTAGTTGTTGGTGTAATTAAAGTGAATACCAGCCAAAGTCCTCTCGTAATAGGCAAGCCGCGCGGTGAGAGCCCGCTCCAATTTAGGTTGCTAGGGAACTAATCTTCCGACACTTCGTAGATTCCGCGCGTTTCAATTTGCCAGAGTGGAGATTACTCCGATCTAACGAGTGTCGATGGAGCCCGAGATTAGACCACGATAGAACGGCATTGTGTTATGCTAAATGCGGAGATTATCTATGGCGGCTTTTGCCGCAATTCCCTCGCACACAGCGCAATAAATAAAGGCAAACTTCACGGAGGTATTTTCGTCAACATGTCCAAATGCCTCCAATGTAAGCAACAATGCATTGTAACTTAACTATGCATTATAACGAAATTTCAAAGAATTGTAAATTGTAAAGAAAAGAAAGGTTAATAAGAAAACACACTGAGAGAAATTCAACTATTTTCGGTCTCAAAGACGTCCCTTTTATAATTTTAACTATCAAAATAGTAGCAAAACGCACGCAAGGTTATTATGATTGACATCGCAGTAACATTTACCAGAAAAATAGATTTCCTGAATATATACTTTCACTACGATAATTATAGTTACGAATAACCAATATTTTCCTCTTAGTGAGCGAATCATTATCCGTACAGAAAATGCACTGAAATCTGATTGCTTGCAAAGAACGTTAAGATCGTCCGTAGAATTTTTCTGTGGTTGAATGTGTGCGCTCGAACTTTGTCAATTATGGAGATCTTCCGGGCACTCGTTTTCAACGAACTATTTTTTTCTCTAGCGTGTTTCGCTTCACGGAATGTAAAACTACTGTCATTTGTTTGCACGAGCCATCGGAGCTGTCGGCAGTAATTTTAATTTGGACGTTCGCGCGCCCGCAGTCTTTGCAGAGAACGGTGGACTTCCTGGTTCTCATGATTAACCAACTATTTTTTTTTCTAGTCTGGGGCATTCGGTAAAGTGCAAAAATACTATTCTTTGCTTGCACACAGAGCGCTGAGACTGTGCGCAGAATTTTTTATCTTACTTTAAAGATCTTTACTTTAAAACTATCTTCGCAGATGGTGTCGGCATAAAGCAAGGATCTTACATAGTTCAAGTCATGAACCAAGTCATTAATAAATAAGATAAACGAGAGAGAGAGAGAGAGAAGAGACTCAAATGGTCCCCTCGAGGCACACGAGAAAGTACATCAAACTCCTTAGGAAATGTAAGAGGAGATTGCGCGTAGATAGAGGCGCGTTAATATATCACGATAAGAATATGAGAGATTTCACGGTAATTATTTTACGTAATCGCACTCTCTGTCCATCTTGGGATCGTTGGCGAGTTGAGTAAAAGCAGATAACCCCGCTATCGAGATGACTAAAATGAGTAAGGCTTTTAAATCCCTGCGCTTTTCGAAGGATATGGAGTATGTAATGCGACAGGCGTGCCAACTTAATTCTTCGGTTTTAGGTGTTATCACCCGGCCCACGGAGGCTCGGGATCCTCATGGCGGATTAAACCGAGATTACGTAAGAGTTTCCAGTAATTCCATGTACTTACCCTATCGGTTGTCTCAGGTACGCCCGATTCCCGCATTCGTCCCTGAAAACAGAAAAAAGCCGTTTTTATTATTTTGGTGTACATTTTGGCACACATCACACGGTAATATTCGGCAAAAATGTTCCTTTCACTGCCGATGAAAAAGAAAAAATAATAAAAGAGACGATAAAAAAGTGAAATAAGGAGCAATGGTTTCCTTTAATATCCGCTGGTTCCACAATACTTCCACGATGTGCAAATGCACGGCTTTTTCGAATGAAATTATATTTTTCTATCTTATATTTTCTTTAATTCAAATTATTCTCATCGTTCCAATTTAGGTACAAAAGTATCAAAATACAATCGATCGAAAATATGAAAAATTTACGAGATATTTCATATTTTACATCGCACACACGCGTGCAAAACGACATTGTCTTTACATATGTGGTTGACCGTGGGGAAAAAAGCACGTTTTTCCATGTGAATTTTATCCTTCGCACAATCCTGTTCCGATCCCGTCATCCTGTGTGTACAAAAAGTACTACAGTGTGGTCATCGAAGCGCGGATAGTTCACGGCATATTTCACATTTTATGTAAAATGTGTATATCGAAAATCGCGAAATAAAATTTCTATTTTTTTCCCGCTTCCCAAATTGAATTTTCGAAACACTTTTTACCCCCGTATGTGGTAATTTTAAAATAAAAATAATTAAGCGAAAAATAAGTTAAACGAAAAACGTTCAAAATAAAAAACCAGGTCTCAAACAGTTAAGGGCCATCAGCCTTTTCCTCCGCCATTTTCTCCTCTATCGCCGATCATAAGAGACGTACTTTTCCCATTTCGAACCGCAGGGAGCACCCTGTATACCGATTTATGGCCCCGGATAAGTTTTCCTGGATCTCCCGATCCGCGTATCCACTTCCTGTCACCGGCGGATTGACGGGGCATGTGGCCGTCGGAATCATCGGAGAAAATAAACCGGGGATCGAAGGAAGAAAGCACATCGGTGCACGGCTGTTCCCATCCGGCTCGCCGATAAGAGACGGAGAAGGAAGGTCGAGAAAGAGAGAAAAAGGGAGAGAAAAAGAGAGAGAAAGAGAGAGAGTGAGAGAAGAGAAACAAAATAAAACGAGAAACGCGCGGCGCTCCGCGAATCGGAGTGCCCCTCGCTGAATTTCCCTCGAGAAAATCACCTTATCCCCCAACCTCGATCCTTGTTCCCGCAGACAGGAATGAAATATCTATTTGCATACGCGCTCGCGAGTCCCGCCGGTGGTCTTGTCCCTCTTCCTTGCGTACGGCGGTCTTGGAACTCCCGGCAAGGTAAATAACGATCTGAAATTTTCACGGCACCACCATCGATGGAGGCAATCGCGGCGAGGTCCGCGGAATCGAACGATCTCGGCGACTGACTGCAGAAGAAAGAGAGCTGCGAGAGAGAAAGGAAGGCAGAGAGAGAGAAAGAAAGAGAGAAAGAGGAGGAAAAGAAGTAGAAGAAGAAGAGGAAGAAGATCAACTTTTTTCGACAAATAAATTATCCGTCATTTAGTATGCAACGAATGGCGCTTCGCAGCCGGAGAATCGCCATTTTTTTTTACCAAGGCTCCGATTTTTCTATCAAGAATTTTGCGATTGCAAGGACCATCTGCGGAATTTGGACATGCGAATATTGTAATGGGGGACGTGTCGTGTGAATGCAGCGAAAGTACATTGCGTCTTCAGTTCGGCTTTCGGAAAGCCGAACGAGATACAGGGTGCGGCGAAAGGTATGCCCTCATTTTGGAGAGCAATCAATAAAATACTATTAAATGTAGAGGATTGGAAATTTTTTTATTACCTTTGGTACTTCAAACAGTTTTTTTACATTAACGTTTAAAAACGATATCTGCAAGATGGCGGCCTCCAGTAGCAATGCACTGATGTAGCCGATTTTGGAAGCTTCGGGCTGCGTTTTGGCACATCTGAATCGGAGTGGCGTTCACCTCTTCGATGATTCTCCTTTTTAGTTCTTGTAAGGTATGGGGACGATGCTTGAAGACTTTTTCTTTCAGATACCCCCACAAGAAAAAGTCACAAATGCTCAAATCGGGCGATCTTGCTGGCCACCCCAAATCACCCCTCAGAGAGACGAGTCGAGTAGGGAACATTTGCCTCAGTTTCGCCATAGAAATGCGGGCTGTATGCGCTGTTGCTCCATCTTGTTGAAACCAAATCTCCCCCAGATTTGTCTGTTCACTCAACTCCTGCAATTTAGGCTCAAAAAAGTTTTCCAGCATGAAAACATAACGTTGAGCTGTAACTGTAACAGTATGGCCATTTTCCTCAAAAAAATAAGGCCCAATGATCCCAAATTTGGATATGGCACACCAAACAGTGACTTTTCGTGAGTGCAGAGGTCTCTCATGGAATTGCCTTGGGTTGGTGTCAGCCCAGTACCGAAAGTTCTGCTTGTTAACATCACCAGAGAGGTGGAAATGGGCCTCGTCAGTGCTCCAGAAAGTTGACGTTGCAGGGATTCGGTTGAGCATTTCTTGACAAAGATTGACACGGTTTACAAAATCATCGTGTTTCAGTTCTTGCACAAGCATGATCTTGTACGGGTGGAAAAACAATTCTTCGTGCAAAATTCTCCGGACAGAACGATCCGACAAACCCAGTGCAACTGCATGCCTCCGAGCAGAGCGCCTAGGCGAACGTTCCACTGATACCCTCACTAACTGCACGTTCTCTGGTGTTGTTGCAGTTCTGGGTCTTCCAACTGCATGAGTTCTTACTGTGGATCCGGTTTCTTCCAATGAAGAAACTCAACGTTTGATTGTTTTTCCATCAGGTACGGAAACATGGCGCGGAATATGGAATCGCAAGCGCATTGCTCTCTGCGTCGCAATGACTGAACGGCCATTTTCCAAAAAAGAGCGCACAGCGAATCCACGATGTTCTCCAGTCCAAATCATGATGTTAACTGAAAACGGTTGAGAACAACCTTCCTAATGAGACCCTGCCCAACAACCTACTCACGCCATCTGATGAGCAACGGATTTTTCAAACTCGGGCAAACCTTTCGCCGCACCCTGTATAAGTTTTCGCACGAAATAAAAAGGAAACACTCGTGGCGGTTTCGATGTCAAAACTTATTCACTTTTTTTTATTTGGTTATAACTTATCTTCGCGGGATGAAGAAAAATAATTTGTTTGCGGACAAACCTGGCCAAATTGTGGACGAACGTGTGTCGCGTGCATTTTCGAAAAATTTGCAATTTTCGGAGTGCTAACTTCATAGATAAGGCGAAACACGGCCTTTTTCGAGTTTTTATATTTCTTACTTTTCCGAACTCGAACATTACGTCGACATAATCCAATAAATACATAATCTCGCATCGTTCTATATACATGGCCGTACATATTACGAAGGCTGCGCCACCGCCGCCGCGCGAGTAGATCAAAGTGGAAACGGACGCTCTACGATGCTTTATGTCGGGATTGCGCTTCGAGCTAAGGAAAGAGATTAAACTCAAACACGAATGGTACAACGAATCGGTAAGGTAATGCCGAAACGTATTGACTTACGTGTATGCGGAGTATTGCAAAGAAACGTATATTAGTGACAGAAATACGCGCTCCCGCGGCGATTCTCGGTGAATTTTTTTCCGCGAGAGGAATCAGCGAAATCTATATCGCCTAGTCGTAATCTCAAATTTTGTCGTTTTTTTTTCATCTTATGTACGGAGAATTTCTTCGTAAAAATTATACCATTGAATTTCGTGCCCAAGAAACACATGTATCGATATTTTGTTTTCATTTGTTATACCTCGGTTTCATATATGTGTTATTTATATTTTTAGGAATTGTGGGGTGCAATTTCACAGGTGAGATAAACTTCGCCGACAGTTTTATTCCTGCATTACTACTGAGGGGAAAAATATTTGGTATTTGTAACCATGATCGCATAAGTGAAAGAATTATGGTTGAAATAACCATTTTTCTAGTATTATTGTAGTATCAGCGATAATAACCTTACATAATGCCACTTTCATATCTTGGGGGTTAAAACCAGAAGAAAATATAGTTGATGCTGAAAATGATAATTTTTGTGGAATTTTTCTCAATATGGAAAACACCATAAAATTTTAAAAGAATTTATATGAAAAAAGCTATGTATATATATTCTCCATATATACATATATATCCAACATGTGAAATTTTGCTATTCTCTCCAACGATAATTTCGCACACGGCTATATAAATATATGTAGACCCGGGACGAAAATTCTCCGCAGTTTTCGTTTTAAATAGCCGAAAAATGTGCGAACGCGAAATCAATTTTTCCCAATAAAATTTTCATCCGGAAGTTTTCGCTACATATACTCGGTCGACGTATCGGCCGAGATTTTTATTTCGCGCGGATATTTCGCTGCAGAATTTTCACCGATGGCATCCGCGAGGCGCGCGCCGTTACACCGGATAAATTTCTTCGGCGTCGACGTCGCTTTTCGGCGGGAAACCGATAACGAGGAACGAAAGGAACGATAACGGGCGGTGTGTGTCGCGCGATATAATGGAGATACAATTTGCTCTGCGTGTAGATTAATACCGTATTGTGCGCGATACTTGAGTTACGGGCGGCATAAAGCCCGGGACAGATTAAGGCAGTGTTATGTGTCAATACGTCGTAGAAATTCGATCTGCTCCGTGTCGCCGGCGGTGTTGCGGCGCGTCTCACACAATAAAGTGTAAATCGGCAACTTCATTAATCGGACAATGGCGCGTTCATCTTGCTATTCTAACGAGAAACGGCGACGACCGCGTCGTAGTTCCGTCGCATGACGAATAACTCTCTCTCCCTCTCCCCTTCCCTCAGCCGAATAATGGTTCCTGTATGTAACGCGATTAAAGGAGACCCACCTTTGTAATTAAACGCCGCAAATTAGCGAATCCGGAAGCGATATTTAATCCCATAATACGACGACCGAATTTTGAGAAACGATGCTCGTTTCTTTTTCTTCCTATATTATATCGAACAAAATATACGAAATACTTTAAATATTTACATCTTACTTACAAGTATACATACGCAGTTTTCAGTCAATCCGCATTTTGACCAAAAATCTCATCCCATTTTTGAGATAAGAATGAAACTTTCAACTGATATCGCAGTCGGATAACCTATCTTGGAAGAACTTTGGGTATTCTAATGGGAATTTATACTGCAACTCGGAAATTCACTGGAAAAATTTCTACGCAAGTCTCAACGAAGTCGTGGAATAATGATCAAGAAGTTTGCATTCATAGCGAGTATCTTCAATATGCGGCGATACATGATAATTGTTGAAGAATTGAAAACAAAACACACATGAAAGATATAAAAATATTCAGTCAACGATATCAAAAGAAAACACGCCACTGGCAATAATAACAAAGCGCTCGCGAATAAAAGGTGTGCAGCGTGTTTAAAAAATCGATAGGTCGTAACGGAAGCGGTCGACTTCGCGTAACATTCCACCCGTTAATCTATCGGCGATTCGTCACTCCGTTAACACACGTTTCGTGTTGCGAAAGATAATATTGCGGAAACGAATATATATACGTGTATATATATATATATATATATATGTATTTGCGAGAATGCTCCGGGTTAAGTGTCACCGCGTGTTCGCGCGCGCTAGTTAAAGGGTCGGCTAACGTGATTCGGCACGTTGGTTATGATAAATAGCCGGACAGCCGGCGAAACTTCGGCTTATAAATCTATCTTACTGTCAACCTCACACAGCCTACGACCGCCGGCCGAAGCGGTGGCCCATGTGTAACCCCGTACGCCAAAATTTCTCGCGGTATCCGAGATTGCGGTGGATATCAGCGCTTCCTAAGCTCGATCTGAACTTTCGCACTTAATACACGGGAGCAGAATTTGCCACGTCAAATTTAACTGACATAGGTAATCTATTTAACCGCATATTATGACCTGAGCTATAAGTAACTTCGGTTATTGCATTACGTGAATTTATTTTCGGTATGAAGTGTCTCTCGGCAGAACCTGACCCGTTATGTGCGACTCAATACGTCATTAATAATTACTCGTATCCTTAATTAATGGAATAGCGCACCGATTTTCTGAGCGAATGTCGAGACAAAATAATTGATACGGGTTGTAAAATCCCACCGGTAAAGACAACAAATATTTATTGCGCTGAGAGGAATTACAGTTACTTTCGGCCTTATCTAAACTCTTTTTATGGTCTTCACTATGAAAATAATAGTAGCAATATATTACATATAAGGTTATTATCACTGATACTATAATAATGTTTACTGGAAAAATGGTTCTCCTGACTATAATTCTTTCACTATGATGAATACAGTTACAAATATCAAAAATTGTTCTCTCGGTGTACTTTCTGCCTGTTAATCAGAGAGTCACTATTATTAATATAACGATTTAATATAACGAATATGCGCGTATTGTGATATACTTAACGCTATAAATTTGTCAGTAAATACAGACTTCGAGGAGAATTTATTATGTATTAAATTTTTCGCCCCGAAGTATCAAAATATCATTTTTTATCCAATCCGCTTATAACATAAAGTTTTATCATGTTAAATGTTACGAAATGACCTGAACGTATAAATATTATTAACTATATGGATTTATAACATCACTTCGAGTCATTTATTATTATATATTCACGGCAACAAATTGAGATTTTTAAGCGCACCGTTACTTATAAATATAAAATCTCATCTCGTATCATCTCCAGATATTAATTTATAATCAAGTTCTGTATCATTACATATTTTACGTGATAAATTCTCCAAGCGCATCGTTATTTAAATAGAATCTCTTCTCGACAGCCACCTTTCTAGACCATATTTGAGTGATGTGCAATTTTTCCCAGCTTAAACTGATGCGAAAGAATATGATCTTCTTTCAAGAATCGATTATTGAACCGCATGGAAGGGAATGCCAGTTATATCTTGAGACAAGCTTCAAGATTCTCGGTTAACAATCACAAATATAACGTTACGAATATCAAATCGACTATCCCATCCGAGACCCGTCTATTGAACCATATCGTGTTTCAAGATAGATCTCGGATTAATCTCTCAGCCGAAATACGACTATAAATATAGCACTATTGATAGATGATGAACGTACAAATTTTATTAATCAATAAAATCAAACACAGCATATTAATACGCTGTGCATACTAATTTAATAACTTTTAAAATACGAATAGTTTTTGTCACGTGAAATAATTTTTAACTAAAAATCGTAAATAACTTTAAACGAAAATCACGTATATTCTTATTTCCAAGCAGTCACAATAGAATCAATAACTTCGTTAGTTGGGAAAACGATCCATTGCTATTATTAACAAATATATACACCGTCGCCACCGTAAAACATTTCATGTACGAAAATAAATCTAAAGAGTGAAAAAAATGGAATGACGTTTGGCTGAGCCCGAAAAAAAATCAAACTTCAGTAAATACTACAAAGAGAAACGCTATGAACAAGATAAATACAAGTAGCATGTTATAATTTAACACACACACATACACACCATCAACACGGTCAAAGATTTTTCTTACTTGCGCTGCACAACGACCATGACGTTTGCCACCAGATGCTTCGAAAAACGTGAAACTAATATTCAACGGTAAACGCGGGGTATTAATTAAGCGCGATACGCCGGATATGCTTTAACTTTTGCGCTTTTACGCATTAACGACGGCATTTTCGCCGGTATCTTCCGGCTAAGAGCCTCCGGCTGCACTCTTACCCGAACGACATTCTATTCTCGCCTTCCCTACCTCCGCCATTATTTCGGCCCTTCTATTGCGATGAGCGCAGCGGATACCGAAGATAATCGATTTAATTGTCAAGAATACATTGTTAAGGGATCGTTATCGGCTGCGAGTTACGTGCCGACGTTGTTTGCTTACGCGCGCAAATAATGGCTTTGTATCGTGGAGAATCGCGAACTAATTAACTGCTCGCGTCAGACATTGTACGTCGCGCCAG